CAGGGGGTCGGACTAGATGATCTGCCCAGGTCCCTTCCGACCCTAGAAACTATGAAACTATGAAACTATGAAATCCTTTCTTGATTCCAGTGTGAAATTTGCCTGAGTGGGAACACCAGGATTTGGTCTCCTGTTCAGACAAATAATTAACGGTGTTCTATAAGGAATCTATTGTCCCAGATCTACTCTTAGAAACCCCCAAAGGGATTTTCCAGACAGAATGTAAGTAGAGATATTCATATCATTCAGATAGGCCATTACATTCAGATACAGATTTTGAGAAGCTTGGGAAGTTTGGATCATAGATTTGGGTTCATTCCATCACAAAGATGAATGTAATTGACAATGCTTAAAGATAGAGCCTGGCTTGAAATCTGAGCATCCAAGAAGTATGTTGAGTTTGGCTGAAGCATGGTATTTTGGTGTCATCTCCAGATTCAAGATTTACAAACGAATAGCACATTTGTAATCCTTTCTAATCTGCCATTTCACTTCTTGGTTTTTGGGCATGGCTTGACCTCAAGAGAATCTCCACGTGAGAGTGAGATTAAAAATAGGTAGAGTCGGATGGGGAAGAGGATCATGTATCTTCAGGTATCTTACCAGGGATCATGGGGTTGTGCGGATTTGGGAACATGTTGTCCCCTTGTGTGGCTGGAAGTGTTATGGTCCTCATGTACTGTGTCCTAGGAGGCATTCAGGCTAACTTCTGCCTGTGTTTCTTGGGATGCCTGAATGCTATCCAGACTGAGGTAGGGCCCTCAAGCACTTGAGCAAACACTTCCTTCCAGAAGCTGTCCATTTGACTTCACAGGGATAACCTGCGGTGCTAAGTAGTGTTATTAACAATTCTGCAGTCTGGCTCTTAACAACCTTTATTTTTTTCTGCTCCCAGTTTATTTGATTTGCTTTTACAAATTTGTTTTGGTTTTGTTGTGGGCTGTTTGCTTGCTACAATTTGGTATGCTCTTGTCAGCCTTCAGAGGCTAAGCAAGATTAGGCTTGGTTAGTTTTTTGAGGGGTGGCGGGGTGGGGGAGCTTCCAAAGATATTCGAGGATACTCTAGCCGGAAGGTAGTATTAAAACAATACCTTTGTATGTAGTATTGCTAGGAGGCAGCATGCAGCAGAGTTTTTCACTTGAGAAGGTGTGAAAAGCATCAGTGTTTGGGTCAAACATTAGCTGGATCAAGCTATATTCTACCTACTTACATTTTGCTAGTTTCATTTCTGCACAACAAAGGTTCCCAAACTTTTTTGGTATTGCATACCCTTTTCCAGATTTA